TTTTTTTTTTTTTTAAAGATTTATTTATTTATTATGTATACAGCATATGTGACTGCAGGCCAGAAGAGGGCACCAGATCTCATTACAGGTGGTTGTGAGCCACCATGTGGTTGCTGGGAATTGAACTCAGGACCTCGGGAAGAGCAGTCAGTGCTCTTAACCTCTGAGCCATCTCTTCAGCCCCATGTTTTCTCATTTTGTCTCTTGAGGATTTATGCTCACCTCTTCACAGATCAGTTGTGACTATTATTTACATTTTTTTGGAATAAACAGTATTTATAGGAGTTTCGTAGTAGGAAAATTATCCAGTCTGTCATAGTCTAGGAAAGTGAAATTGCTGTCCCCACATTTTCTTATGAAAAAAAAAATTTTAAGTGTCATGAAAATCCAAGCAATGGCAAATGCAGAGTATTTCTTAGAAATTTCCTTAAAGTTTCACAAGCCTATTTTCTTCTTCTTCAGTATATACCATTTTCTTGAGTGTGGGAGAGCTAGCCCAGCCCCTCATCTGCCATATGGTGGTATGAGTGGGGCTGGGGAGGTGGTGGTGTGCCCCCCTCCCTACCCCAGCCCCTTGCCAACTGTGGTGGGTGGGAGAGCTGGCCCTGAGGTCATAAGATCAGAAGCACTGTCCCTCCCCCTCACCAGCTGCAGCATTCTGGAGCGTGGCCCCTGCATCTCACCTGGGCAACACACTAGCGCTGGATCTGACAGTTCAGGTGTGAGAGAGCCGTCCCTGAGGGTGTGAAAGCAGGAGAACTGGCCCCGCCCTTTGCTCATTGCTGCAAGAGGTGAGCTAGTTGGGGCAATGCTGGAGAGCTCACCCTGGTGGTGAGGACTGGGGAGGGCTGGCGGGCTGACCAACCCTGCAACCACCCAGGCCTAGAACCAGGGTTATGAGCTGGCCCACCCCAACATCCACCCCATCTATGATCTGCAGGAGCACATGAGGGGCAGGGGACCGGCAGACCCAAGGCTGCAGTATCTCCATGACACAGGGCAACAACAAGATATCCAAGAGGATTCCCAGTGAGGGCCCAGCATTGATAGTGTAGCAGAAACCAGAGGCCTGAAACCAGACCAATGACTCTTTGCAATGAACACTTGCAAGTAAAGACATACGGACAAAAGGGTTTACTGCGTTACTCACTGTGTCACAGTACAGCTTCCATGACAAGATTTTTCCTGTTCTTTTTTTCTCTTAAATTTTATTCTGTTTTGGGGGGTGGTGGTTGCAAGGGCAGAGGCTGGGTATGAAGGGATGGGGAAATGAATGGGATCGAGATGCATGATGTGAAAGACACAAAGAATAAGTGAAAAGAAAGTTTAAAAAAAGGAAATAGATTTCTTTCGCACATAATATATCCCGATTAATTTCCCCTCCCTCTGTTCCTCCCAGTTCCTCCCCATCTTCCCTCTCATCTAGATCTTTCTGTCTCTCATTTGAAAATAAACAGGCTTCTAAGGGATACTAATAAAATGAGATAAAAAGTAATATAATGAGAAAACAAAACTAACACACCAGAATAGGACAAAACAAACAGAAGGAAAAGAGCCTGCTGTGGATGATTGACTGATAAATAAAACACTGATTGGCCAGTAGCCAGGCAGGAAGTATAGGCGGGACTAGCAGAGAGGAGAATTCTGGGAAGTGGAAGGCTGAGGCGGAGAGACGCTGCCAGCCGCCACCAGCCGCCACCATGAGAAGATGTTAAGATACTGGTAAGCCACGAGCTACGTGGCAACTTATAGATAAATAGAAATGGGTTAATTTAAGATATAAGAACAGTTAGCAAGAAACCTGACATGGCCATACAGTTTGCAAGCAATATAAGTCTCTGTGTGTTTACTCGGTTGGGTCTAAGCAGCTGCCTGACTGGCGGGTGAGAGAGATTTGTCCTGACCATGGGCCAGGCAGGACCAGGAAAGCTCCATCTACAAGAGCCCAAGAGAAGGTATAGGAAACAGATACAGACTCAAAGACCCGCTTGTTCTCACACCAAGGAATCCCAAGTTCTAGGACAGCCAAGGCTGTTACACAGAGAAACCCTGTCTTGAAAAATCACACGCACAGAAACAACATTAAAACACTAAACTAGTTAGCAGCTCCTGTGCATGCTGCCTCAGTCTTTGTGAATTCATAGATTCATTGATCCTGTTGATTGAGAGGGCCTTGTTGCCTTGCTGTCCTCCATCCCCTCTGGATCTTACAATCTTTCTGTGTCCTCTTCCACAGGGTTTCCTAAGCCCTGAGAGGAAGGATTTGATGGAGGTATCTCATTTAGGGCTGAGTTTTCTGAGGTCTCTCATGCCCTTCAGATTGTCTGGCTGTGGGTCTCTGTATTTATTCTCATCTGCTGCAGGAGGAAACTTCTCTGATGATGGCTGAGCAAGGCACTAATCTATGAATATAGCAAAATATTATCTATTTGCTACATCCTTTGAGTAGAACAGTAGTATTTGGTTTTACCCTAGGTCCCAGAGCTATCTAGTCTCTGGTTCTTGGCCACTTAAGCAGTATTGGATATGGGTTCCATTTCGTAGAGTGGCCTTAAGTCAAGTCAGATATTGGTTGGTCACTCTTACAAGCTTTGTTCCACCTCTGAACTAGCATATCATTCAGGCAGGACACCACTGTAGATCAAAGGGTTTGTAGCTGGGTTGATGTTTACACTTCTCCTTTAGTAGTGTGCCGAGTACCTTCTGTACCAAAGATGCTAGCACATGGGTGTAAAGGCTCTGTGGAGGTCCCAGCTTGACATCTCCATGTTTAATGAGTTGTGTAGGTGTTGTCTTTAGCAATAGGGCCTTGTGGTCAGTTTGTGAAGAGCAACCTATAGTCTTGTCAATAGCCTGGGTTGTCTGGGTATTCCCATGGGACCCCTCAGACCTGTTTGTTGTAGTGTAAAGTACCACATTGTGATGACAGGTGACTATTACTGGCTTGGTGGCTCAGCAAGACTTCACCACAAAGGTGACATGTAAGTCAGACCTTGGTGAGCAGGAAGTTTAGTAAATACTTGCTTATATCCAACCACAGGTCTTCCAAATACTGAACATGCTGGAATTTAGAATTCGTTTGTTGACAACCAATTAATCTGCTTCATTTTATATACTAGTGTATATTCTGTTTTATTTCTGTTTCTGTGATAAAACACCCTTATTAAAAGCAACTTAGGGAGAAAACAGTTTATTTGGCTTACAATTCCATGTTACAGCTCATCATTGAAGGGGGATCAAAGTATGAACTCCAGCAGCAGGGTCACATCACATCCACGGTCAAGAGCAGAGGGACATGAATGTGCCCACGCTGCTTGCTTTTTCAGAGCTTTCCTCTACCTCTCTCCTGTCTTACATAGTTCAGATACTCCTGCCTAGGGAATGGTGCCGCCCACAATGGGCTGGGTCACCCGACATCAACTAACAATCAATACAATCCCCCACAGACACACCCCAAAGCCAACCCAATCTAGACATTTCCTTAACTGAAGCTCTTTTCTCTGGTGATTCAAGTTTGTGGCAAGTTGGTAATTAAAAACTAACCATTATATTAGTTATACCTATCTTAACATATAATGCTATCACATTTATTGTTATCAATCACTTATTTTTGAGTGGCATCTAAGGACATAGGTGTTTTATGAATAACGTAGGGCTGGAGATGTAGCTCTGGAGTCAGTCCTTAGCATTGCATACACATGGCTACAATTCTGGCACTTGGGAGATGGAGGCAGGAGGATCAGGAGTTCAATGGTGATCTCAGCTACATAATAAGCTTGAGCCCAGTCTGGACCACACAAAACCTTGATTCAAAAACAAAACTAGGGGTTGAGGATGTAGTTAATTTGCAGAGCCCCGGGTTCAATCCCCAGCATTGCACAAACCAGGCACAGAGGCCCATGCCAATCATCCCAGCTCCAGGGAAGTGGAGGCGGAAAGATGAGAAGTTGAAGATTATCCTCAGCTACATAGTGAGTTCTCGGCCAGCCTAGGCTACTTGAGACCTTGCAAGACAGACGGTGATGGGAGAAAGATTCAGAAGGATTAAATAATGTTTTAGTTAATGCATTGTAATGAGAGACAGGACTGGACTCAGATTCAAATGTGGTAGTTATGAAATGTGCCCCTTAACGAACATCATAGACCAAGGGCTGCAGCTGTTCCGCTTTGAAATTATGGTCACATTGCATTGAGACCCCACAATGTTTCTAGACAGTTGCTGAGAATGGCAGGAACGCGAAGGCTGGCCTGTTCTTGGAATATCTGGACCCTATTGCCAGCTGGCATTGGCTCAAGGACCTCCTGACAGGCTTGCAGAACTGTTTTTGGAGTGCATGGCAGCCTAGTGGCTCTTCTGACTGGCCCCGCCCCCTTTCTTGAGACAGGCTTTCATGTAGCTCATGCTGGCTTCAAACTTTCTAGGTAGCCAAGAGTGGCCTTGAACTCCTAATTCTCCAAGGTCTACCTCCCTGTGCTCTGGGATTGTAGATGTATACTACTGTGCTGGTTCCTCTCTTCTTCACTCCAAGGCAGCACTCACTGACTCCCTCTGTAGTTTTGCTTGAAGACAGTTTCCTAATAAGCTCTTCACACCTGAAAATGCACGTTGGTTTCTGCTCCTCAAAGGACCCAGGCTAACAAGGTTTGTTTGACCTTAAGATCTGAGCTTCAATGAAAACTACGGATGTATCAAAGCTGAAACAATAAAACTCTTTGAAAGATGCATAACCTTTTGTGAGCCTACATTAAACTATAATATCTTAGTTATGACACCAAAACCCTGAGCAACAAAATTAGAAAATGGATATTTTAGACTATGAAAATGAAAAACATCTGTTCTTCAAAGGGTACCACGAAGAAAGTGAAAATTAAGTCTAGAGATGGAGAAGGAGTTAAGATCTTTTACCACTCTATCAGAGGACCAGTTCTGATCCCAGCACCCATACTGGGCAACTCCAACTTCTGGCCTCCATAAGCACCCCGGTGAATACACACACACATATACACACATGGAAAAAAAGATATTTTTAAGTGAAAATTCAACACAGAATAGAGAAAAAACTTACAAATCATATATCTGAAAGGGATTCATATCTGGAATATATTAGGACTCTTACATCTCAACAATAAAAGAAAAAAAAGAATTCAATTAATAAATGCCAAAAACGTCAGGCCTTGAGTTGCAGACCTATGATTCCAGTACTTGAGGTGTTGAGGCAGGAGGCTCACCATAAATATAAGGGCAGACTGAGTTATAAAATGATCCATTAAAAAACAAACAAACAACAAAAACAGTAAAGAGGAAAAAAGGAAGAAACTAAAGAAAAAAAAGAATAGATGTCTCTCCTAAGAAAACACTTAAGTGGCCAATATTCATATGAAAAGATACTCATTGTCATTAGCCCCCAGGGAAATACAAATCAAATCAAATCAAATCATAATCAAAGGTTGAGGATGTAGCTCAATTGGCAGAAAGATTGCCTAGCACTTGTGAAGCCCAGGGTTTGATCTCTAGCAGGGCATAAACCAGGCATGATGGTCCACATGCCTGTAATCTGAGTGTTCGGGAGGTGGAGGCAGGAGCATCAGATGTCCAAGGTCATCCTTGGCTTTACAGGGAGGTTGAGGCCAGTGTGGAATACAGGGCACCCTATCTCCAAAACAAAACAAAAAAACTTAAACTCCATTTCATAAACACTGCCGTGGTTACAATAAAAGTCTGGGTCAGACAGGGTGGCATGTGTCTTTAATCTTAGCACTCAGGAGGCAGAGGCAGGTGGATCTTTATGACTTTGAGCCCAGCCTGTCTGGTGGTTTATCAACAAGCGGAACATAAAATCATCTTGGCAAATACACAAGAGAAAACATATTTCGATACAAACACATGAGCATGAATATTTATAATAGCATTAGTCATAGCAACTCCAGAGTGAAAACAACCCAATGTCCAACTGATGAATGGATATACAGAATGAATATTAATACAGTGTCAAAATTTGGGGTAATAAAAAGGAGTGGAGTGTGGTTGTGATGGTCTGTACCACCAGGAGTCCCAGTTGCTAAGGGGATTGAGGTAGCAGCATCCGTTGAGCCCATCTGGAGGACATTGTGAGAGCATATACCTTGAATAAAAAAAATGACAAAATACTGATATTGATACATGCTGTAACACTTTAGGGATGAATTTTAAAAACATTCCAAGAAGCCACATATGAGAGACTATGTCTTGTATGATTCTATTTACTTCTTTATTCATTAGTGCTGGAATTGACCTGGGGCTTTTGACATGCTAAGCACATGCTCTATTACTGAGTTGCTTTGCCAATCCCCTATTGTTTACAGGCAGGGTCTTGCTATGTAGTCCAGGCTGGCCTCAGTATGTATCGCAGGCTATCCTCAAACTTGCAGCCCCCTTGCCTTGTTCTACCCAGTGCTTGGAGTATGGGTGTGCACTATCACACTGCCTTGGTCAACAGTCTGAACTCAGATGCTGTCTAGGTCACCTGCTTCCCTTCCCTGTACTTACCATGCAGTAAGAAGGCCATGGTGACAGTTCAATGTCAGTGTTCTGAAGTTGTTTTACAAGCTCCTGTGTTTACCCTGGTGCCTTTCTTCCTGGAGACAAGGTCTTCCTTGGACTGCATTCCCTTAGGCCCTCTTTAAGATCTGTGTTTTGCATATCTGCCTTTCCCTCTGTTTTGGATGACAGGACGCAAGGGCCAGCTGGCCTTTGCTAAGCACTATGAACTACAATGTTTCTGTCTTTGGACTTAGTCACCGTGTGTGCTTGTCCATGATTCTGGGTGGCTTGACCGCTTCGCTCGACAGGAAGAAACCGAGGCACAAATGTCAGGTGGTTTGAACAGGAGTGGAAAGGAAGCTGGGCCTGCTGTTAGAGCAGGCCTGGATAAGACTGTCTGAGCTTATAGCCTAGCTTCCTCACAGCAATGATGACAGGGCTTGAATCAAGTTTAGGTTGGTCACCTCTTTGTGCTGCAGTGAGAACTGTGCCTGGCCCCACTCAAGTTCATCTAAGTGATTTCACAGTTCATACACTATAGGCTACCTGACTCCCAAGTAGAGCATAGTGCAATTCCAAGCCTGCGTTGGGTTCATCTCTGTGTTGCAGTGGCAGAATGGGACCCAAACTAAATTCAGACTATAAACAAAGGACAGATTTAGCTGCAATGACTACCTGCCTGTCTCCAGCCAGCTTACTCACCTCTTTCCAGCAGCTGTTCAGAGATACATCCATTGCTTCCTGTCAGTCAAGAGCACTGTGTTGTGTAACAGTTTCCTCTGTAATTGAAACATTGCATCCTTCAAGGAGGCTCCTTAAGTAGGAAGGCAAACAGCTCAAAACACCTTCAGGAAGTCCCTGAAACTGACCAGATTCACTGGGCCCCCTCCTTGCCAGAGAAAATATTAAGAGTTGAGGGCTCCCCCACCCCGCAGAAGATGAGAGACAAGCTGTAAAGAAGATTCTCAGACTGACCAACTGCCTGGAAGAAGCCGAGACCAGCAGAGCTGCCTGGAAGAGGTTTAGACCAACTGAGGGAGGCGTCTGGAATACTCTCCAACCTGTTGAGCTGCCTGCACGCTGTGCATTGTGCTCCAGGTTCCCAACTTTGGGAGCTGTCTCCCATGTTGGGGTGGGCCTTGGTGATACAGCTCTCTTTGAGTCATTTCTGCAACCGTAAGTAACCCCTCACCCATATTCCTGTAAGTGACCCCAGTAAAACTCACTGGCTTACCAAGCTGGACTTTGGTTATATCCTGTCTCTCATGGAATCCATATCTGGGGTGAGTAGACTATGTGGGTTGTGTCTCCCCAGTGTAGCATGAATCTTAAAAGTTCTTATTAGCCGGGCGGTGGTGGCGCACGCCTTTAATCCCAGCACTCGGGAGGCAGAGCCAGGCGGATCTCTGTGAGTTTGAGGCCAGCCTGGGCTACCAAGTGAGTTCCAGGAAAAGGCGCAAAGCTACACAGAGAAACCCTGTCTCGAAAAACCAAAAAAAAAAAAAAAAAAAAAAAAAAGAAAAAGTTCTTATTAATAAAAACAAACCCAGGAGCCAGGTATTGGGGTGAATGCTGGAAGATCAGAGAAGCAGAACAAGCCACAGCCACCTCACCTCGCCAATTCCTCAGCTGATCCTGTTTCCTCAGACTGGAAGCCTCTGGGTCCTCATCCAGAGTGAATCTCAGCTGAACTGTTGCTCAAAAGCCTAAAAGCTTAACCAGGCTCTAGTTCCTCGTCTTCATGCCTTAAATACCTTTCTGCCTCCTGCCATTACTTCCTGGGATTAAAGGCGTGAGTCACCATGCTGGCTGTTTCCAGTGTGGCCTTGAACTCACAGAGATCCAGGCAGATCTTTGCCTCTGGAATGCTAGGATTAAAGGTGTGTGCTACCACTGCTTAACCTCTATGTTTAATATTGTGGCTGTTCTGTTCTCTGACCCCAGATAAGTTTATTAGAGTGCACAATATTTCGGGGAACACAATACTACCACACCCCAGGAAAAGTTTTGTCTCACTGAGCCACAATTGAAGTGACTGAGCAAAGGTAAGGGGTGACTGGACAGAACTGGGCGTGGGCGGGAAACCAGATAGTATCAGAGGAATTTACTGGGCCTGTGGGGAGGGATGGGACAAGAGAAGACAGGACCCACAGAGGAGAGATCTCTGTTGCTTCAGAGTAGTGGTGCCAATCCCCATGGCCTCAGGGAGACAGAATAAACTCCCTATTGCTTTGTCTAATTCTCTCTCCTCTAGACCTCTGCCAGCATGCTTGCCTCCCCCCCGCCCCCATTTCTGGAGCAACATGAGCAGGCTATTAAAAATCAGCTAGCACTTTCCTTAACATAGGCCATCTCCTCTTAGCAGATACCACATTCTGCACACATCTTTTGATTTGCATGTTTATTGTCTGTGCCCCCATGGGAATATATCGTGGATATATAGTGGAAATATATACGGAGAGGGGTGTCTCCTATAGCCTAGGCTGGCTTCATACTCACTGTGTGCAAAGGATGACCTTGGATTTCTGAGCTTCTGCCTCCGTCCACCTCCTGAGTGTTGGGATTACAGGTTTGTGTTTCCATGACCACTTGTCCTCAGTGCTGGGAACAGAAACCAGGGTCTCATGCATGCTGGGTAAGCACTCTACCAAATGAGCTATATCCCAGTCTAAATGTGCATCTCATCTCTTGAAGGCCCAGTCTTTAAATTGTGTCTTGGTTAGGGTTACTATTGCTGTGATGAAACACCATGACCAAAGCAACTTGGGGAGGAAAGGGTTTATTTGGCTTACACTTCCACATCATAGTCCATCAGTTGAAGGAAGTCAGGAACTCAAGCAGGGCTGAAATCTGGAGGCAAGAGCTGATGTAGAGGCCATGGAGGAGGGGGCTGCTTTCTGGCTTCCTCAGCCTGCTTTTTTACAGAACCTAGGACTACCAGCCCAGGGATGGCATCACCCACAACGGGCTGGGCCCTCCCTTATCAATCAACAGTTAAAAAAATACCTTACAGCCAGAGCTTATGGAGGCACTTTTTTTTTCAGTTGAGGTTCAATTGAGGCGTGTGTCAAGTTGACATAAAACTAGACAGCACACATTTTCAGAGTTTTTTTTGTTTGTTTGTTGTCGTGTCCTAGTGCTTGGTGGCTGGCAAATAATAGGAGCTGAATAAGTCGTTTGAATGAGTCAACAGACTAGGGCCCAGGTAGCTTGCTGTTAAAAGCTTCTCTTTTAACAGAAAGATCTGGTGCCTTCTGGATACTGAAGGGTGCAGAGCCAGGGGCTGAAGCTCCTGGCTTCAGGTCTGTGGTTGGGAGGGGCAGCAGGTGCTAGCGAGTCCTTCAGCTCCGCTGCAGTAGTTCTGTTTCCCTACCGCGCTTCACCCAGGTGCAGCCCGATCCGCGTCCCCACCCCGATCCCCCCCAGGAAGCCGGCCTGTGGCGGGACACGCCGGGTGGCGGGCCGAGTCCCTCCCACGGTCCTTGCGTGAGCCGGGAGGGACGCCCGGCGCTCCCGGCAGGTTATTTTTAGCTGGGGGAGGGGACGGAGCGGCAGGCCCGGGCGACACAGGCTGAGGTGGCCACGGCGTCCTCCGGCAGTGCGCGCCGCTGTCCTCGGGGACCTGCGCGCGGTGGGGGCGGGGAAGGCGGCGGGCGAGCGCGGCGGGCGGGAAGGGGCGGAGAGCGCGCTCCTGCGGAGGCGGCTGTGCTCATCCCGGCGGCCCAGCGCTCCAGTGCTCGCCGGGCTTCGCAGATGGCTTGCCCCGCTCTCGGTCTGGAAGCCCTTCAGCCCCTGCAGCCTGAACCACCTCCGGAGCCTGCCTTCGCCGAGGCACAGAAGTGGATCGAGGTAGGGTGCCGGCGGCGACGGGCGGCCTTGCAAGGGCGCCCCGAGCTGCTGCCTGGCGCGCAGCGATCGCGGGTCCAGCCTCTCCCCCACCTCCACTTTCGTGGCCAGCTTTCTCAGGTCACCCAACGCGGCCTGCAGCCGGACTGCGATCCCCTGGCGTTGGAGCCCCGGGGTGGTGGGCGTGAACAGGGGACACTGCGGTCTAGCAGTGTGCCCAGGGGCAGGAGGCGGTCCCCTGCGCCTCCATCCCTGCTGCTTGCGGAGCTCGCAATCTCGGCTCGGTTTGCAGGCGCTGCCATGGGAAGCGCAGTGCGAGCCGAAGCGCTGCAAACGCGCCAGGGGCTAGGGCTTCCAGAGCCCTTGCGGGAGCCGCATTTCAGGGTGTCCCGCTCTCTGCTCCACATTCCACCTCTTGGCCTCCCTCCTCGCCCTTCCGGAGCGGAGTTGGCAGTGTCTCCACAGAGGCTCATACCCATCGGAGAGCCTCTAGCCTGTGTTCTGGCACCGGTTCAGGTGCGAGGCTGGCGCAGAGCATAGCATGGGGGAACCTGCAAGACCTAGTTGCGAGTGCACTATCCGCAGACACGCTACCCTGCCGTTGGCTGCCCCAGAGACCGCAGGGTGGGCTCCAGCAGGCCGTATACCCGGCCAGGTTGGCACATTTCACTTCTTAAATGGCTCGATTGAAGGCCAAGGAAATCACTGGAGCTCTCGGCTCAGGCCAGGAAGCGCTCGCAGGGTGATCCTGATTCATGATGTCTATCTGCAGGTGCAGTTCAGTAGCCCTGCAATTCCGAAACCACTGGTCTTTGGTCTCAGGACGCTTGGAGGGCGAGAGTGGGGGAGGTGATCCACTCGTGGAATCCCTATTTCAACGGAATTATGCTTGCTTATGCTTTGTGGGAGGTCAATTTGGCCAAATGACTCCTTTGACCTGACTATTAAAAGGAGGATGTGTGTGCGCGGCTAAGTCATGGCCAAGCAAGGATAAACTTCATAGTACTCAGAATCTCACTTAGGGACCCCATCCCCACCCTAGGGACAGCCTGGGTTTCCATTGTTGTTAGGGTGATAGAACTATGGGGCTGCAGATTTAAACCTGCTGTATGGGGCTGCAGATTTAGACCTGCTGAGTTGCCTACAGAGGCAGTTGCTGGAAGGCTCTAGCCACAGGCCGCCACCTTTCAGGGTCAACCTTCTTCATGTATACAAAAGCGCCTCAGAGTTTGGAAACATCTATTTAAAAACGGAGTTAAGGAAACAGAGTATACCAGACACTGTTGCTAAAAGCTGGGGCTGGCGTGTCTCTTGAATACAGATAACTCACTAGCAGATGAGAAAAAGACATTGGCCTCTTATTTTTGATGTGTGCCTGAAAGACTTGGAGTATGACAGGTGTTCTCTCTGCGCTTGGGGCTCACAGGCTCCACAGGAGACGTTTGTAGGCACTGGCGGTAGTGGAGAGTTGTAGGACTCTTTATCTTTCAGGTTCTTGGACTTGAACATTCCTTGGAGAAAAATTGATTGTATTTTGGAGGTAAAGGAATGTCCAGGAGAAAGAATAGCCTCTCTGTTCTCATAGGCAAGTGATTTATTTCCAGTTTCTTTAATTGATGGTAACGCCGACATGCTCTGCTTTTTGAAGTGTATTGTGGCATAATTTCCATACAGGATAGCATGCAAATCTTAATTGCACATATCCGTGAATTCTGGAGTATGTACATCCTCCAAAGAGCAAGATATATAAAGCTTGTATGTGTGTGTGTGTGTGTGTGTGTGTGTGTGTGTGTGTGTGTGTGTGGTATTTCAGGCTAAACATTGCACAGTGTGGAGCATCAATTTTCATATTGGCTTGAGGAAAGGAAGAGACAGTTTAAGAAAGCAGAGCCAGGTTAAGCTCTAAACACAGTTTAGTATTATTCTTGTTACTTTTCTTTTTAAACCAGTCAAAGAAAGTGAAAACCTTGATGGGGTGTGCCTGTGTGGCTTTAGGACCAGGCTGCCAGGCACGCTGCGTGTGCATAATTGAAGCGGCCTATCTCCTTACCACAGCGGAGTTGTATTTCATCAAAAGGGGAGTTTCCCCTTCCAAGCCTGGGCAGTAAAAAGGTGTTCTCGGCAGGGGCAGGGGAGCTACTCGATGACCCCCTCCCCTTTCCTCACATTCCTCTTGAAGTGTAAATGCCACGTTTGCAAACCGGGAGCCAGGGGCTGTAACAGATGGTTTTGCACCCAGTTACCCAGCGAACAAAGATTCCTGGGTTAATATAGCAATAATGCGTTTCTTAGTGGGAGCCACTTCCCATGGGGATTCTTATCAGGAGACGATCGCATCTCCCGTTAGGGGCCCATTGTCTCAGGCAACATCCTCATCGGGAGGGCTTTGTTTTTCGGTTTTTGTTCCATTGGTGATTAAATTTCCCACAGGCCTTTTCTTTTTCATTTTTCTTTCTGAGCAGTCAGAAATTTTACCCTTTCAGAAAACGTCCCCATGGGTGCAGCAGGTTAATAAACAAACTTTGCTACTACTCGGCTTCAGAACCCTTAGTTCTGGGCTGTTCAGAGAATTTACATTCTTAATAAGGCTCAGAGAGCAAGCTCCCGGATACAGGTTCCTAGCAGGAATTTCTTGGCCTGCAGCCTTGACTATTTGAAGACCCTGTTATTGGGCAGGAAATGTAGCCCAGAAGCCAGGCTCCTTCTTCCCCCTGCTCCCCCCCCCCCCCCCCCCCCCCCCCCCCCCCCCCCCCCCCCCCCCCGCAGATTCTGACTTAGATGCTAAAGGTGAATCCCCTAATAAAGCTGGACTTGGTCACAACTGGGTAGGGACCGCTGGGGCACATTTCAAGTGACTTTCCATGGTTGTGGGAACAGGCTGAGTGCCTTACTGTGGGTTTGGGGAGGGTCCTGGGGAAACAGCAAAGTGCAAGCATTAATCCACGACCAGCAGGCAGAGGCAAGGCTAACTTCCTATCATATTGCCGTTCTAGCTCGTTTCCCCAAGCACCGGGCAGTAAGGGCTGCACAGGGAGCCAAGAGGCCTAACTTCCTAGCTGGAAATCCTTGGGTGGAGGCCCAGGTCTGTCACTTCTAGCTGAGCGACCTTGGACAAACTGCTTTTCCTGTCCTTATGTTTCCAGATATTTTCTTTGAAAGATACCTCGAACTAACAACAGAACAACAAAGGGGTATTGTTGAAACATCTGTAAAACAGGATGTTAAATAACACCTCACCTCGTAGGCGTGCTGGAGGGTTTAATAGGTGAACATATTTTAAAATGCTTAGAGTAGGGACTCTGGATAAGGTGCAGTGGTTAAAGCGTTGGCCAGGTAAGTGTGAGGGCTGGGATTTGGATCCTCAGAGTCCTCCATGACCCACCTGTCGTTCTAGCACTGGGATCCCCATGGGAGCTGGCTTGCAAGCGGTGAGCTCTTGGTTCGGTTTCGAGACACTGCCTGGAAGAATAAGTTAGGGGGTGGTTCAGGCAGACTCCTGATGTCAATGTTGGGGTTCCATGTACACAAACACACACCTGCACACATGCACTAGTACTTACACACACACACACACACACACACACACACACACGAACACACACAAACAACAAATACACACACATACTCCACATGTGCATGTTAAGAAAGTAAGTACTCAGAATAGCACCTGGTACTGTTTGAGTGACGGCATTAGTTAGCATTTATATTATATTATGATTGTTGTTATTCCTCTGTTATCTTTGCTACCACTCTTGGTGCTGTTGCTAATAGCAACTGAATTTGATTTTGCTCTGTTTTGGTTTCACTCGTCTGTTATCTTATTTTATTTATGATTTTATTTGTGTTGCAGTACCAGGAACTGGGCAAGTGAGCTAACTGATGTGACATCCCTAGTCTTATATTGATGCTCTGAGACTGAGGCTTGCCCAGGCTGACTTTGAATCTGAGTCCTCCTGGGATTACAGGCATATACCACCAAGGCCTGCCACTAAGCCCGAGTTTGAGAGAAATTCTTCTGAACCATATGTTTCTAATATACAACATATAATTCAGTTACCTACTGATTTCACTTCATTATCTTACTATATTTTAATACTTACTTACGTTGGGGATCAAATCCATGTCTAGGCAGGAGTTGACACTATCTCAATCTAGTAATTCTGGATACTTGGGCTAGAGAGAGATTAAGTAGATGCTACATGCTACTGTTGTTAGATTTTAGGGTCCGAGGAGAGCCTGTGATAGCTCACTCATGAGGTGACCTCACAGTCCATCAAGACTTAGAAAATTACCCCTCAATATTAGGTTGGACTTCAAACTTTAGCATGTAGTTTTGCTACCAAACTCTGAGAAGAATCTTCAGTGCCTCTTGCCTCGAAGACAGTCCAATACATTAAACTGGAGACTGGCTTGGTAGTGGTTTTTTGATTGTTTGTTTGGTTGTTTGTTTTTCAAGACAAGGTTTCTCTGTGTAGCCTTGGCTGGCCTGGAACTCACAGAGATCCGCCTGCCTCCGCTTCCAAAGTGCTGGAATTAAAGGCGTGTGCCACCATGCCTGGCCGGTAGTGGCTTATTTTGATGCCTACTTTCTTCTATGCTAATATTGATGTTTGTTTGCAGGTTAGATGATTCTAATATGCCTGGTTCTCCTCTCCCATTTGTCTCTCCACCCACAACAATATTAATCTGTTCTAATATTTATTTTTCTCTTAAGTGCCAGGCACTTTCTGGAGGACCAGATGTCTCTTCAGCCGGGTTTCACTTGATTTGGATTTGGAACAGGTTGTGAAGATTTCAACCCAATTCAGTCGTCATTTGAAAAGTCTCTGGATTGCTTTAACTTGAGTCATGGTGTGCCCATGGGTATTTGGTGATGGGTACAGTCTTACTTGTAACCTAAGGCATGTTTCATGTGAGTGGGAACTTCATTTTCCTGTGGCCACAGGGAATTGCTTTTTTAAAAAATTCCACTTTGATTCAGATCTCATTCTGAAGATTAAATG